AAAAGAATGCTATATATCCATGTATGGTGGCACATACCTTTAATCCCAGCACTCAGGAGGCAGAGGTAGACAGATTTCTTGAGTTCAAAGCCAGCCTGTTCTACATAGTAAGTTCCAGGAAAGTCAGAGCTATATAGTGTGGCCCTGTTCACACACACAAAAAAAGAATGCTACACAATTCTTTAAGAGTTCACAGCTGATCTGTGAGGGGCTAAGTGGAACTTTGCTGAAACCCTGCCCCAGAAAATCCCAGATTATTAATTAATCTGACATAAGGACAAGCCCATAACACCAAAGGAGAGGCAAGCACCATCTCCAAGGCCAGCTTTGGCAACAGCTGAGACACCCAATATGACTTGCAGGACCCTCATCACCTCACTGAACATACCAAAGACACGGCAGGCCTCAAAGGAACGGCAGGGAACGCATGACAATGAAGGCTCCAACATGAAGAAAAATTTCCACAGCTGCTGCATCCTCCCTGGACAGTGGCCACACGCAGAGGAAATGACCTGGCCTGGCAGGCCCCCACTCAGGAGAGAGGCCAAGACTGCACAGAGACCAGGTCCCGTGCAGCCTGACCTCTCACTCTGAGAGTGGCCCTGATGTTGAGTCATTAGTGGAACATACCAGTCAAGAGGTGGGGACACCTCTGCATCATCTGGTTCTGTGTGGAAATGACTGAACATTTTCAGAGGTACCTCCCTGTCACCTACATCGCAACTAAGACCAGGGCCGAGGATGGGCCAGTCACGGAAGACCTTTTGGTTCTCACGCAGGAGACATGCCACCTGATGCCAAAGAGTGTGACGCTGAGGACAGACACTGATGCCCTGTGTCATGGTTGTAGTGGAATCCCAGAGTAGAGGATGCCCAACACACATAGAGGGCATACAATGTATTGCACACATATAACATATGTGACCCCTCATAACACACAGACCACACAGCCCATAACATACCACACATGAATCACAATATACATGCCGTATGATATTCCACTTAACACACAAGGCACATAATGTACTGTACATGCACAGAACACAAGACCCACAACACAGTCTACCATACATACAACATACACATAGCTCCCAAGGCACCATATAACACGTACACCTATACACAGACATACAAGGCAGTGGTTCCCAGGGAAGGGGGAGCTTATACACAGTGCTTGAGTATGAGTGGAAGGTTGATGGACTATTCGCATGGTGAGTAACAGTAGGGGTTTCCATGGTGCAGACCTGTGGCCCCTTGTGAGCTGTGCTAAACAACTTTTGTACCCTCTGTATGGCAGGAGAGGGACACTCCAGCACCCATCAGGAGACAGAGAGTACTGAGGACAGAGACAGTGTGTGTGGCATGTGTCTGGGTAAGGGTTGGGGGTGGCAGCTCTGCCCTAGGAAAAGGAAGGAAGAAGAGCAACATCTGGACTTGAAGTAGCGGCTGAGGCAGCAACTACCCAAAACCATAAGTGGGAGCCTTGGCAATAGCTGAAAATAGTCGAGTCTTAATGGGTCTTGGCAACAGTCTGGCTTGAGCTCAAAATAAACCTCTTCTGCCAATGTGGCAGTGACTCTCACCAGTGAAATTTGGTATTTCCAGTGTGGCAACAACCCAGTAACACTGAGTATCACACAGGGGAGCACTGTGCTATGTCACAGGGAAACTGGCACCTGCTTTAAGCTTCTATCCAGGGCAATCAGCACTTAAGAGTGGCAGGCTCTAAGCTAAGGAAGGAGCACCTGAGCATACGTACCTGCTCACAGGTGTGTTCAGACACGTGTATACACATGTACCCAGACATAAATGTTCATACGAGCACTTTACCTGTGCACACCGATCTGCGCATGTGTGTGTATAGATATATGCAGCCCTATGTGTTCTTCCCTCTGAAGCATCACTTCGATGGCATAAAGAGATGCCGGCTTCTTATGAAGTATGGCATCAAAAATCAGACTCAGTAAAGGCACCTGAGGACTCGGCCGACCACTCCTGAATCTCTGACACTTGGTGTTTCAGTTTAGATCAAAATGAGAGTGAGCAAACAGTATCTTGTGGCCTTGAGGAATATTTTCCCTTTGAATACTGACTCACGTCCTGCCATTTGTTCTAGTTAATAGGAAATAAGTAAAGCTTTTGGAGTTTCAACAGGCCAGGAGACAACACACAGCTTAGTTTTGAGGACACCAAGTCCTGCTCTGCATTTGCTATCCCTTGTCCTTGAGTGTGGTTATCATCAGGCGAGAGCCATCTGGACTAGATCTTGCTAACTAC